AACGATTTATCAACACTCTGCCACACCTCTCAACTTATTTCCATTTTATTTGTCACCGCTCAGCCTACTTTGTGACACTTAGTGTCTGTTAAAAACCAACAGAACTAATTCTAACTGAGGTACTTGACGGGCAAAAGCCTCATGTGAAGATCTGGACTGCACTACTGCGCAATTCAAATTCTACTCTTCTACTTTATGCTTAAAATTTATTTTCTTTCCTCATTTTCCTTGCTCCAAAAGGTAAGAAGGAAGAAAAAAATCAAATCACTTTCTTATCAAAAACTTACACTACACTGAACAGGACTTTTGTAGCTTGTGCAATTTGTCACAGTTAAGGGAACAGCTGCATACTTTCTTTTTACTGATATTTCAAATGTCTCCTGACTTAAAGCAGGACTACATTGTCAAATAAATCTTCATGTATCATCTTATATCTGCCAGCTCTTGATGCAGAAAGTATATTTTTACACTTTGGGTGGATTCAAAATTTATTAGTCATATTTAAGCATGACAGCTAAAAACAGAGGAGCATATCATACTCTCAGAGAGATGCAGAGTCAAGGGGAAGAAAGGTTCTCAGATTTTCTGCATGAAAGGATTTTATTTTCCCCTGGTTGTTTTTTGCCCTTAGCTTAGGAAAAGAAGTTTTTCTCTAGAATTTTACAAAGCTTTGTGGGGGTTTTAGAATCTTTTGGACAACTACAAACTCCAGCATAATGGACCTGCTTGTTCATTCATGACTGTTAGGAATAATTTTTTGCTGTAAATAGTTTCAAAACTAGCATTTCCTATATGAAAGAATATATTTGTTTTATTTGCATTCCTTTTGAGCTGTTTCTCAGTTAAATAAGAGATGACTCCTTTCATACACTGCTTCGAGCCTTGGAAGAAAAATCTCGTATCCAGACCATGCAGCAATTGCACCACCTGATGGACCTACCAATGGAATCCCAATTTCCTGCAGATTTTTCACAACAGCAGGTCAGAACTTGGCTCCAATTATCAGCCTGATGAATCATGGCTTCAGCAAATTTTTGACTTAAACTCAACTTGAGAACAGAAGTGTATGTACAGAACAGCATGGAGTAGATGCTGCTTATATTCTTGATGACCTGCTTGTCATTACAGTTGCTAATTGTTTGACACAAAGTGAAGCACAGCACACACAATCTGCCACATTTTTAACATGTATTTAGAAAGTGTTTAAAACTGTCTGCAACTACTGTTGGAAAATTAATTTTCTTTACTTCAGGATTTTTTTTCAGCATAGGTGAACTACAGTAACATTTAGGAAATGCATTCAATTTTATTTAAAATGTTCTTTCCATCAAATTCATGTACTAAGATTTGATCTTGTTATTGTTTCTATTTTTCTCTATGGATCGGGGCAGACCATTATAAGTATGTCAGAATTCTGGACTGAACTGCTGATGCTGGAGCCTCTGAGGATCATTCTAACTTCATAAAAATTACTTTAAACCCCAACTTCAGGGCCTTTGTTCAAAACGAAGTGAGAGCTAAAATTTTCACTACAAAAATGGTGAAAACTTTGGGATTTGGTCCTTTAAGAAGGGCAGCACTGACTCACTCATTAATTGATAGCCTACGTCTACATTTTTAGCTATGCCTGCTTTTACTTCCTCTTTCACATTGTGTGACTTTCTGAACTGACTGGAAACTGACAATCATCTGCTTCCCAACTAATGCAAATTTAAAACTCTCTGGCACTTTTTAAAACGGCAATCATTAAAACTCTTGGCTAGAGAGGTCACATAAAAAAAAAAAAACCACAAAAAAAAAAAACCACAAAAAAAAAAAACCACAAAAAAAAAAAAAAAAAGGATCCCTTATATTTTAAAAGGCCTCTCTAAAAAAAGAGCAAAACAAATTTTTGGCTATGAGAATCAAAAGCCAATCTATAGCAGCAAAGGAGACAAGATAAAGTGGATAAGGGGCAAAAAAATTTCTCTAATAAAACGTTGAATAAGACTCACAACTTAATGAGACATCCTAAGCCTGTTAAATGTCACCTCTTGCCCAGAAGATGGAGCATTATGCTAAAATATTACAAACCAAAAAGCATAAGTGAGCTACCCAAAATACAACATTATCCTTTTGTCATCTTATTGCAGGGGTTCCATACTGCTGTCTCTTTATCACAACAGTTCCATACCTTCTCGGTGTTTCTTGTAGGCAGCTCCTCACAGCACTGACTCTTTCTCCTTCCCAAAGCAGCCACTGACTCCAGTTCCCTTCTCACCCAGCCACCCCACTCCGTTATAGCACTCTGCTGCTCATTGCTTACAGCTGTGGCCTGGTAAAGTCAGGCCTGTTCCTGATCTTTGATAATTGGCCCAGCTGCAGCTCCTTAGGGGTGAGATTACTTTCTACACTAGCTTTAGTTTCTTATATTCTATCCCCCTACATTATCCCAACACACCTTTGGCAGCTTCACTTCTGCTGAAGTGAGAACAGCCTGTGGGACAAACACCTCAGTGCTCTGTACATAGAATTGCACCTTCCACGGCCAAAGCTAAGCCACTTTTTAAACTGTGCACTTTTTTTTTAAATTGTGCGCTTTTTAAACTGCAGGCTGTTCAGGACTGGATGGAAAGTTCAGCTTTTTAAAGACCTTGCCAAGGGAAAGGCACTGTGACAAGCTGGGCTTCGACTGAGGCTCCTCTTTGGCCACCAGGAGGCTCCATTGGAACGGGATTGGGACACTAAAACATTTTCTACAGAAGCAAGTGAGGAACGCCAGGAGACACCATGGTCAGGAGTAAACACACAGAAACCCCTAGCACCAAAACCTTTTCCAGCCGTCCTTCCCCTTGTATCTTCTTTTCCCTCTACTTTGTCTTTTCCTTCCTTTTCCTCCCTCCCCCTCCAAATCTGTCAGGCCTAAAAATGTGTAAAAGCATTATTCGACAAAAGGATATTAACTTTTACCCTAAGAGCTTTTAGGATTTTAATTTCCTAAAATTTTAATTAATTTAATTTTTAAGCTTTTTCTGCTAAAAATAAAACAAAAATGTCTAAAGTAATATTAAAAAAACTTCTCAATATGGCACATTTTTACTTCTTGCTGATAATATACAAAGAAAATTAAGTCAGTGAATCAGTGCACACATTATATTCCTACCCCTTCCTTTGTAACAATATTTGCCTGGTTAGTTTAAATGAAGTTTTCTGAACTTTAGCATCTATGACAGCAGCACCAGCTTTGTTAGAAAGTTTCACTTTTGCAGGTTTTTGAAGAGAAATGGAACAAAAGCTTTCTTCTCAAGCAGTAGCAGTAAAACAGACCTAAACCTGCACCATATGATATAGTTTGGGTATCACTGGCATTGTTTCATACTTGCTGACATTTATTACAGCAGTTTCATTTCATTAAGGTATCTGCAGTTTTACTCATCTGTGCAATGTAAACCTGTCTTAAAACTAAGTAACTAAGTACATGCACAGCTTTTTGACATTTTGGCTAAATTTTTCTGGAAGGATTAAAAAGAACATTTTCCTTAGAAATTCAGTTAGTGAAGCAGTGATCCAAGATAAATACCCTCTGAATGCAATGGGAATTTCCTCATCCCCCCTTTTAATAGCACAAGGTGATGCTAAGTTCCTACTGCCAGTGTGTCAGGAGGGTTTTCTACCTTGGGCAAACCTGACTGGAAAGACAGAACCCAAAGACCAACAAGATGCTGAATATGATTTCATGAATGTCAGGAAGTCTGGACCAGTGCTCTTAGTCTGGAAACTGTACAGACAGCAGCAATTCAGCTTATAGATTTAAATGAAGATTTCTAGATTTAAACGAAGTTAAATTAGTATGACTATAAAGTAGTGTGAGTGGTTTATTTTTGTTGGTGCACTAACTGGCTTTGTCCCAGTGCCTAGACTTTCAGGCAATAGCCAGTCTGCCTCCAGGCATCCACATCTTGCCAAGGATCCTTCTTTGTGCAGGGCTTCATGAAAGGTTCAAAGACCTTCTCAGAATCTCAAAACTAAAAGAGGCTCATGACAAAATCTAAGGGTCAGGGACCCTTAGAGAAACTGATCCAAACGTGCTTCCCTATGCAGTTATCACCTGTGTCTGTTCCATTTTGTAGCAATTCTGCTTCAGTCTGGAAGAAAACAGGCAAATGAAGGCTTTGCCACTTCCAGTGCCTAGCTCTTTATCACAGGTTATCATCTCCAAAGGAGTTACTTGGTGGATCTTCTCAATGAGATCATTTGGATGTTCTAGACCATTTGGTGATAATGCAATCTACAACTGCTTATAAAACCCTTTAGGACACTCAGAGTACCTTACCAAGTGTCTGCTACTGCTGTAAGTACTACGCTTACTTGCAGTGGTTTCATGTCAAAGCATTATTAACAGACAGTATTAACTCCATGTTTCTTACTTGTTACAGTCTGTTATGCTACTCCATTAATTTTGTGAGCTTGATTCTACAGCCTTGAAAATGGAAGTCTTCTTTTTAAAATTACTTTACTTCCACATTTCATTTTCTTTCATCTGATTACTCCAGAGGAGATTATTGCACCTATAAAAGAAATGAAAAATATAGTAAAATTTTCAAGATCATTATTTTATTTCAATGGTTTTAGGATTCTTAGCTGTCATTAGTGTTTGGAAAGGTAGTGGCTCATCTATTCCTGTCTTTAGGAACTACAGGAAGAATTCTTTTCTTTGGTCTGTTCAGCTAAGTGACACAAACTTCCACAGTGCTGAAGATAAGAACAGAACAAGTCAAGCGGTCCCTCTATTATTTTGAGCACATTAAGAACCACATAAAATTAATTGTTGATGAAGCTGGGGTAAAAAACTAGTAAATGTCTAAGCAGCACAGATCCTATCACCTACAATACTTTACAAAGATACAGTATAACAAAGTAATGCCCATCTCTTGTTCTGAACAGAATACATAAATAAAAACAAACCTTTTTTTTATTATCTTGACATAAATATTATAGATTGTTTTTCCAAGATTGTTTCCTGTGCTGCAGATGATTACTTGCTGGGTGAAAAATATAAAGGTACATTCACGGCTGATAGTGAATATTATAATAATCGGGACTTTTTCCTCTTATCCATTAAGATTACAAAGGAGAAGTTTCATGGTGTTTGGGGAATTATTTCTGTGGAACTGGGGGAGTGTTTTCAATGGATCTGTACAAACCCAAGTGTGCTGTGTGATTTGCAAATCCAAAGCTTGGACCAGAGCAGATACAGAAGTCACTGGCTTGTTTCTCACATTATTTGCTCATACAGTCAAGGCACTCAACCTCATCTTAAAATATATGATTGTTTCTGCAAATGATGGAAAATAAAAAAACCTTATAGGTAACTCCTCAGAGCATCAGTGGATCTTACATTACTCAAGACGTTCTCTTGACACCATACATTTAAAAGTTCAATACACTAATATTTTCTCTGCTTACTCTGAAAGGTCTTCAATAAAGGACAAAATAATCAGGTTCTGGTTCTACTTACAGGCAGGAAGAATTTAATTTTACCTGTTCACACAAAAACTCAACTATTTCTCATCCAACATTGTGTAAATATATCCCAAGCTTAAAGAAAAGGTCAGATTGCTAAATGTATTGAGTTTGCTAATACAGTACAAGAATTTGTTTTAACTTTATTTTCATGTACATTTTCAGAATATATAGAGTATAGAAAATGGTATATTTTAAAGACATATAAGGTAGAAAAAAACCCCTAAAATATGTTTGTTCTGCTCAAACTCTAGTTCAGACTGATTTGTTCACTTGTGCAGAACATTCCCATCTCTTGTGTGGCATCATGCACATGCTGGTGTTTGTACACAAGTGGAGGTGTTGTGCATCAGAGTATTTGTTGTGTGTGTGCTTTTCACTTTATTAAAGGGACAGAGCTTTTACTGTGGAATTAAACTGTGTTCATATATATCTACATCTTTATTTTAAATATTTGCTCTACAAATGACCTGAGCATTATCAAGGCAAGGAACTGAAGCATCTCTGCAAGTCAGTGGCATAAAAAGCTTAACTTAGAATTCTTCAGGACTGTCATCTAGATATTAGAGCTTTAATCTGTATTTGCTTTAAAATTTTCCTTATTGTCTCATGTTTTAATAAAAGTAGCAAAATGCCTAGCTAACAGTCTATTTACTTTCACCCTTAAACCTGCATCTATTTATTTAACACAAATTCTGTTTGCTAGAAAAACTCAGGTTTTGAACCTGAAATGAATTCAGCAAATTATAGAAACACTTTTTTAAAAAGTAGGGTAATAATTCTTGAAATTCAGAGCACTCCCACTAAGAGGAAAAAAACCTGATGAAATACTAGCATGATGCTAGATTGGGAAGAATCCCTTTTCTTCAAAATTATATGGGTTTTTAACTATTATTATTACTTTTACTGTGATGTCCTGCTTGCTCATCCTAATTTTTTAACAGTCTTATTGGAATTTCTTTCCTCCTGAAAACAAGCAGCACATGCCAAAGCATTATAGGATGCTGAAGGAATGAAGATGGAACTACATGGCCTGTCACTCATGCTGGAGACAGTTCCTAAAAAGCTATGCACTTGAACTTTTACTTCATGATAAATCAAGGACAAATCTGAAGAAATCAGATAAAATTTCATTATCTGATGTCTAATATAGCAATTATTAACTTCAGTAGAGCTACACTGCCTTATGATACTGAACTTGTTCTCCTTTAAGTGTAATACCTCATTAAAAACGTATTTACTTTTTTACTGCCTCTGCATTGGGCCAGCTGTAGTGAATATGAAATAAATAAATAAATGGTTAGAGCTTTTCAAAAGTCAAATCTGTACTTAAGCATCAAAGCTGTGACTAACCAGGACAGACTGCTTCGTTCATTCTCCACACTGATCTCCAGAATCACCATCAGCCAAATCCAGTATTACACTGCTGAGCAGCTAAGCCTGGTATTAGAGCAAAGATTTAGCTCACAAAATTACTGAAAAATAAAAACCAAGTAATTTTATCTTGAAACCTATCCTGGAATTCATAAGCATAGCAATTGCACTCTGATTTGGTTAGTAGTAGAGTTTAGTTCCAGTAAAATCCACAAAGAAATTTAAAGTCAATTTTTTAAAGGCCAATTTCCCAATGGGCAGACTCAGGGAATGCTTTTGTACAGGGCACATTAACCATGAAATCACTATGTGATAAAAACTCAGTGTAATAAACATCTTGAGTTAGGCTGTAAAAACCTAAATTTGGCATTGCTTGATCACTAGGCTGCTTAGAAATCTGCAGATAGGCCCAGTAATGCTTTCCTGTTCCCCTTTTCTCCCTCCCAGGAAGGCTGCCCAAGGCTCAGGGATCCAGGGCTGGGGTGGGGAGCTCCTCACTGCCCCAGCTGTGCTGGGCCCAGGCTGAACAGGGAATTGGCTGATAAGTGCTCCCACCAAAGGCTCTGTGTGCTTAAATTAAATGTGAAACACAATCAAGAGAAACATTTGCTGGAGTACAAAAAGGGCTTGTTTACTTTTGCAAAGCAAGTGGTTTTAATAAAAACTTGATGACACTTACTGCACATTATAAAGAGCAGAACACTGGTCCTGAGCCAGGGCAGACGCTCTGAGTGCAGCTCTGGGCTTTAGATGTGTTTGCTTTTTCATTGTCATCTGGGCCTTGTTTTGTTGCACGCCCTTCTATTTAACATATTTCAAAGGGATATCTGGTCCAGGAATATAATTAGTATATTGCTTACAAATTAATTTGTATGGGCTTTATTTCTAATCTACTAGAGGCCAGGAACAAACTGTTAATGTCTAATAAAGGAAAACAATTTATGATGATGAAATATGTAAAAGAATGTAAAAGAAACAACTTGGCTCTGTCTTGCTCTGACCCCTGACCTGGAGGTGCCAGGCATTTCATTTCACCTGCCTTCTTTTTTTTTTTAATTCTGTTTCATATCAAGAACACAGTACATTTTTAGAGAAACAATACCTTTACTACAAAACCATGTAAATGATTATATACAAAATGGTTACTGGAATTTGGTTTTGTACTGCAGTGACAGAAATAACTAGGTGCTGACATTTATTTACGCTTCCTTAATACTAAGTACATCACTCCACTGATCAGGGTAAAGGCAAAGGCAATCCAGGCTAAGACAAAGGAATAGCCATATTGGCCTTTGGAAACTTCCATTACATATCCATGGCTCTGGTGCAGTTCTTCATGCCTGTCTGTGTAAATGGAAGCTGCAATCATAACACACAGACCTGCAGGAGGAAGAAAATAATAAAGGTCAGCATCTTAAAACATTATCAGTACACACATCTATTCACTGTCTCTTCTGTTAGCTGCTTCCACCAATGTCCTTTCTTTGCAGATGCTCGTCTTCCATCCTCAAACTAACCTGGAAGCATTTCAAGACATATTTTCAGTTTATTTGGCAGGCTATAAATTTGAAGTGCTGTTGTGTATCTATGTCATTTTCAGTGAACGGAAAATGATTCTGAACATCTGGGTAGTTTTTAAGACTGACAAAAAAAAGAAGTGAGTGCTTGCCTGTAACAATTAGAGAGTTATTTAGTGTCCTCAAGAAGTTCAGCATCTCAAATTCTTTCCCTTCAAAGTTTAAATTACTTTATCTTGAGCAGTGATGGCATCCATGTGTTAACTGTCTATATATTACAGAATGGTACAGCTCACTCTTTAAACAATTATGAAGGATAAGCTATGGCCTCAGGAGCACTACAGAGTTCTCATGCAGCTCATTCTTTTTGAAACCTTTTCCTGCTTTCCTACATACATGAAAATATAATTCAAGTCAAAAGCATTGAAAAATCACTCACATGACAGGAGCTGGATAACAGAAGTTAACACAAATCTTTCTCCTTGCTTTAGACGGAAGAGTTGAAGAATGAAAACCAGAAATGCCACACAGCAGAAAATGGTAGACAGGATCATGGCGGCCTGAACAGCCTGAATTGATTGATACTCTGCAAAAACAAAGCAGCCTTGATTAAAAATCATTTCTCTCTTTGCCTTCTCCTGCAAGGAGTAAAGGGGCAGAGCCGTGTTCTGTAAGCAGGAGTTCAGCAGATGCAGCAAAGCAGCCGTGTGTGCATTGCAGGGGCTGATTCTCCTCTGCTTCCTTGGTACTATACACAGCCAGTGGCTTAAAGATTTCTAAAAGCTTCTCATCAAACTGAGTGAAAACACTGATGAGACTTCTCCCACATCCCACCCTTTGCTGCCATCAATGTCCCAGGAGCACAGTGAAACTGCCAGCTGTCCCAAACAGCTTCCAAATGCAGACCCCAGCCTCTCACCAGAGCTGGAGACAGCTCTGTTCAGGAAGGTCCAACCAGACATGATATGCACCCTTAGCACTAGAGATTCCTCTCATTCAGGTTTTTCATCCTCTCCATCACTTCCCTGTAACTGGGAGCTGAAGTAACCAATACCTTTTTAACCATGAGCAGCTGCTCTGTGTAAATCTGCAGCCACTGTAGCCAGGCTGGGCCGCTGTAAATTTCACAGCAATTTCCCCAGATCTGCTGAAGGAACACAGACACAGGCATGGAGGAACACTCACCATTGAACTCATCAGTGATAGCCATACAGGTGCTCGTATTCGTGGTACACACTCTCCAGACATCTGCAGAAAAGTTATCTCCCACCCACCAGGCCTGCAAAATAAAAGTAAAGGGCTCTTACAGGGAGAAAAAACAAAGAAACCCCACAAAACTCCTTTGTTTTCCAAGTGTCTACTGATTAGATACATCAGCATTAACAATTTTCTGTTCATTTTTGATACTTAACCACTCCAATGAAATGTGAGATCTCATGGCATTTCAGAATAAAGTGTATATAATTATCCACACATTATTCTCATTTTAGACCTCTGTGAAGTAGATAAGGGCATTTTAAACATCCCAAAGCACCAGGGATTTCCACTATTTGGGCAGAAATTTTGTGTAGTCGGTGATTACTCACTCCTTGAGGCACCTAGACAAGATGTGCTTTGTTCATCCAGACCCTGTTTAGGATGCACACCTCTCTGAAGGACAGTATTTGCTAATTAGCAGGAAATAGCATCACCTCTGAAACAGAAGTCCTTTATAGATGTTCTGGTTCCTGCCACTGAAATGATTAATCTCAATGCAATGTAGCTGTGCTGAGGTACACTGTGGCATCTGTCTGGTAATGGCTGACAAATTAACATCCTCCTGGGGTGTTTCTATTTTGAGGCTTTAACATTCAAGGCAAAATGATTCTGCAGCATCTGAGCAGATTTTTACAGTAGCCTGGAAAATGACAAGCACTCCACAAGTGGCATTTCCTCAGGAAACCCATTCCCATTCCAATAGCTACCCAGACCTTTGTTTTGACTAGAGCTGCACAAAATGAGACTTTTAAATAGGATTCCTGGTAGGATCTGCTGCTTAAATAGACATTCCAGAAGCCTCAGAGCTTACTGTGCAGCTTTGCAAACAATACTGCAGTTAAAACTATAATATACTATGGTAGTAGGCATATAGATAAACAGAACACTGTATTTTAAGAAAAAGAATTACTTTCTCAGAATGCCATTCATTTGCATTTTACAGTCCCAGTTCAATATGTTATTTTTCAGCTCTGAGCTCTACATAATATAGAGATACATAATATAAAATCTAACAAAAGATGGTTGTACAGTTAAAGTTTTTAAATGTTCAAAGGTAGCTAATGACACAAAGCAGAGTGCATAGGCTTTTATTTCTGCAATAATTTGGGTTGTGTGCTGCAGATTTGAAATAAGATTTTTTCAGTGCTTTGCCCACGGTCTTTGCTTTCTAAATATTCAAAGGAGCAGGGTAAGACAACCTGCTCCAGTGCTCAAATAATGACCTACTTCCATGGAACAATCAACCAGCTGACTAAAATGTAACACCTGAGTTTGTACACTTTGCAACAAAAAGTTGTGAGCAATGCATAATTTCACTTGGAGCATGGTCTTCACTAAACAGTATTTTCAGCAGCAGATTTTTTAATATCAAAAGCCTGTACATACATCAGACCTCACAGACAGATTCCAGTGCACAGACTTCTGATCAGGATAGTGGGCTGTTTTGGAAAATGGAGAATTCCATTAAAAGCTAGATATAAATATTGGAGAGTAAATTCTTTTTGATCACAAAAATAAAACAGAAATTTTGAAACAATGCAACATAAAATATTCTAAAGCTTTGTGCTGAAGCTACTTCAACTTAATGGACACACATACATTCATGGTTGTCTCTCATGATTTAATTGGGCATCTTGGACAAACACTTGTGAGGCAAAGCACATCTTGACTGAAATTATCCCCATATATTAATCACCAGCTGTTTGACTTTAGGTACTTGAGACAAAAGGACAGTGGATCTTCCCCCCCCTCTCTGCTTCATGTCCAGCTGAATCAAATCCCAGGGCTCCACCCTGTAAATATCCTCCCGGGCCAAGTCTCTCTGAGGGGAGGGGATCTGCTGCCTTGAGCTTACAACATGATGCCATGGACAGACTTATCCACCAGCAACATGCACACCCAAGGCATTTTTTGTTACAGAAAGGTCTTTGCTTCATTTCTTTGCTTCAATTTTTATGAAGCAAAGAAATCCCAGTGTGTTTGAGAGCCAAGGAGAAGAAATGACACTTACATTGTCAATTGTTGAGATGAACAGCAGAGCTGCTGAGGTTATGTGAAACACGATAATGAAGGCCAGGAGAATCAGCATCCTTGCTCTGGGGAGGCTTTAGGCTGAGATAAATCTGTTGAACATAAGAAAGTATATGAACAATCTTTAAGAGCTGTCAGTGGATCAACCTGCAGTTCTGGTGCTGTTAGATACCATAGCATCAGATGCAGCTGGAGTCCACAGCACTTGTTCTTTCTCTGCAGATACTAAACTGGCATCATGGGTGTTAAAATGAATCACAACTTGAAATGAAGCCAAAAGCTGCATTTTGCAACCTTCCAGCATGATGGCTGCAGTGAATAAACACACAAAGTTGTTTCATTCTGTGTACAAGGATGGAACACTCCTTCACATTGGTTTTTAGAGAAGTGCATTTCAAATTCCACTGCCTCATGTGCAGTGAGGAAAATATTTCCACTGACTGCAGTAAGGTCTTGTTCCAACCATCCTTCCAAAGAAGGAAGAACCAGATTTCAAAAGAATGCTTATAGAACAAAATTAAGTGCACCAAGAACTACCTCCTAGATTTAGTAACACTATGTTGTACCTTAGGCCTCACGTCCTTTGTTCATACAGTTATAAGTTTTATCCATTGATAATGGCTAAGGACTACTATTTTCTTCAATGTATTGCCCCTACTGGTAGGGTTGAATAAACCCATTAGTTTCATAATAATCCAGTTAGCTATTTTATGTTCAGTCACTTAATACTCTCTGTAGGCTACCTATTACCTTTATACCTTATTTAACCCACCTATTGCAATGTCACCTCTCACATGAAAAAAAATACATACAGGAGAATCAGAACCTGTATTTAACTGGAATCCCCAGGAAATCTGTGGGCATATAACAAACAGGTTAGGGAAAACTACTGCTACTAATACTCAGAAAAATGCAAATGCTTGACATATCTATTTCTTCTTGGACAGAAATTCTTGCCAATTAATATATGCTAAAAGGAATTTGCAGTTAAGGTGCACCACTCTGTACATCACCTGCACATTGTCACTCATCAGTACATTTATGCATACTTCTCCCTTTGCTTTGCTTTGGACACATTCTATGATGTCAAATGATGCCACTCACATAACACAGTAAATATCCAGAAGAAAGGGCAGTTAGGAATTTTAAGACTTCCATTATTTTTTTCATGTCTAATCCCCTCTCTCCTACTGCCATTTACTGGAATCATGAACCACATCAATAATTTAACCAAAGAAAAGGACTACTCTGACAGCATTTTTAAAGCAGCTCCACTGGCACTCTCATCAGGGCAAATAATAACTACTCTGCAAAATTTTAACAAAAAGATAACTGACAGCATAATAACTGAGTGAATAGAGACCAGGAGTTCCAGAATAATCCTCTCCATCTCCACTGCAGTACAGAGTTATAACAAGCTCAAAGGCAAATAGCATTGAAGTGCTTTTTTGAAAAATAAGGGGACAGCCTAATATCCTTATCTAATTAGAATGACTGAATGGGGAAACCAAGTCAAACCCTAAAATAGGAAAAGCATCTACTCTAGTGCGTATTCCTTCCCATTTCCTCTCTGTTAAACTCTGCCTCCCCAGCCACAGTGAAGAACAGAAAGTGGGAGTTGCCTCCAATGAGGTGATTCTACTGTATGACTCAAAGTCCTCTGAATCCAGTTCCACTTCCAGAAACGTCATTCATGGTTCTCTATCAAGCCTTGCTTGAATGAAAGGAAGAAGAAAGGAAAAGAAGGTATTTTGTGGGTTTGTATAATGCCGCATCAAAATATTTTTCATTGTGATATGTCTTTGCACAGCACCCTCTTGTCTTGTGGCTGGTTTTTTTCTGAGGTTCATTTCTTGCACAGATGGTATCTAAGCATTCAATAATGCAACAATCATCTGCCATATAAGGAGAGAGAACCAAATTGTACTCGGTATTATATTAAGAATAACAATACAATTTCATCTTATTACATGAAGTAACATAAAGTAAGAGAGACCAAAAAAATGTAACCTAATTAAAAACAATCTTGCAAAAGCAAGACTTGCCAGCACAGAAGAACCCACTTTATCTTCAATCAAGGGAATGGTTTTGTTTTACTGTTTTCAGCCATAAAGAGAAGTGTTTCAGACAGGACAGATAAATATGTATGGCTAGCAAGAAGACATTTTTTGTTTTACCCAAATAAAGCCAAGATTAAATGAAAGAGATTTTTATTTCATCTCTAAAAAAATGGACAATAAGAAAGGTCTGATGGGTCTGACATTTCTTTTTTGAAGACCCTTCCTAAGAATCATCTTTAGATTCCCCCTCCTGCCTTGCTGGCAACTGCTCCCTTCACAAGCTGCTACAACTTCTGTGCACACAGTGCTAAGCAATGACACATGGAGACAGGAATTAAATACACTGGGGGAAAAGAAGGAGACAGACCATTTCCAAGTAATTAATACCAGGAAAAGACAACAAGAACTGGTTATCCAATCTGTCATGCCTGAACAGGATCCCAGAAGTGCACAGACCTCAATCACTCCTACAAACTTTCCCTTCCCATGGAGACCCAGGAGTTTCTGTGGTTCACCCCGGCCTGCACAAGGAATAATGAAGGGAGGAGGGTTTTACAGAGAAATTCTTTGTGATATGTGGGCAGGAAGCAAAGAGCAGCTCCCCTCTTCCAAGATGCAGCCAGCAATATTGCAGATGCTACTAGAGAATCTGCATCCCTCTCTAGGCAGAAATTCTGGGTTACAATGCTCAGAAAGATCTACTAGTCCTTCTCAACTCCACAAAATGCTGGAATTCAAACCTTACAGTGCACACTCAAGATTCTCCCACTGCCTCAGCAAGCAGCTCTTCCTTCCCCAACCCTCTGAGGACAGCCTCCCTGGGAGCCTCTCCTAGCAGCAAGCAGCTCCTTTCCTCTCCCTATGAGCAAGGGAAGGACACAGCTACAGAGCACTGTTTGCATTAACATTCAGAATTCTTATTTCACTAATGTATCACTAACCAAACACTTTGGTAACATCCTGTTCTGCACTCTAGCTGTTCTCCTTTTCTTATTTACCATGAAATGCTTCCTGAACAGAGTGATTTTTCACCTTCTCTCATTTGCAGCTGAAACACACCATGCTCTCAGGTCAGGGTGTCCATGAATTTAAAGTACACTGCCTTTAGGCATGGATGAAGGCTGAGATGATGCAACAGATATTGGCCATCATTCCCCAAAGTGACTTGAATTCTTTTAATAGTTTTTACACACACACAAATATATGAGAAAAGCTTTTTGGACACACTACACTTACAATGATGGAGCCACACTTCTCAGAAGTACATGATGAAAAGACTACGGGCAACGGTTACAAGTTGCAACAAGGAATATTCCAGTTGTGAAAAAAGTATTAATTATATTCAATGAGCATGATTAAGTACTGGAACAGGGCCCATGAGGCTGTGGGATCTCCATTCTTGGACATCTTCCTGACTCAACTGAAGCAAGGCCCAGAACGTCCTGATCTAACCCCCGCGTGGAGCCAGAGTCTGCACCAGAGACCTCCAGAGGCTCCTTCCAGCTCAGCTCTCCTGTCAATCTGCAGCTATTTCAGGAACCTCCCTGTACCAACCTCCAGCAAAGCTCTGACAAAAGAGAACATAATATTTGACTTAGCTCATCACATGTGACATTAAAAACAGATTTGGGGGTTATAGTAAGGATGACTTTGGATGTCAACATAAATTCCTTCAATTGCAAGGCTCAGCAGTTAATACCACTTCATAAGGTGTGGTGTAAGGCAGAAATGGACAGATACTGCTGAGCTACAAGTGCAAACTGCCACTGGATCTAGAAAGAGTAAGTTATAGGAATCCCACTGAACACATCCAGATTTGCTGTGCTAATAAAGTTTCCCACAAATGCTGTTAAGGTGCAGAATACTTATACAAAACACAATAAAACAGAAGGCCAGTTAGAGAACAACCCATATTTTTTTTTCAATTAGTGCAAAAGTAATGCTCCAGTGCTACTTCATTTTACAGGGGGAGGATAAATGCAGCAGTCACATTTCTCTTGAATCTCGTCAGCAATGCAGACTTTTGGAAGCAGTAGTTTGCACTTGCCATGGGAGAGAGCCTGATGAACTTTAGAAGAAGTGGCTAAGAAGGCCCTCTGCTATAATCTCCTGGACATGCAGAGACAAGTATGTTTATACAGGATAAAATACTACAACCATCACAGAATTGCACAGTAAAGCAAGGTATCTAGGCCAGGGTTTCCCACATTTCTGAACTGTAGTGTTTCAAAACTGGGTTGTCTCCCTATGTCATATCACACACAAAAACACATCCCCTGCAGAAAAGCTTCAGTTTATCTCCAGGATAAAGTTTATCTTTCATGTCCATCAGTATAAAGAAACATGACTATTAAAGTTTTTCAGTACAGCAAGCAAGCAAAAATGGAAATAGTCTTTGACAGTTCTTAACAGAAGTTTTATCATTACTTTCCAACCCAGATGTCATCTCCACAACAAATGCTTTCCTTTCCTCCCATGCAGTTGAACTCTGCTGCCAGGCTGTTTCTCATGTTTGTGCATACTCAATTTTTGCAACCAGCAATACATAGTGCAGTGTGTTTGTCCTGGCCTCATTTGCATTGGAAAGGCTGAAGCTTACCCTCCAACACTGGCTCTGCCCTCACTCCCTAAGATCAAGTCAGGGGTTTTTATCATCTTCATGTAAGCCCATGTCTGAGAAACCTTCCACACAGACAATCCTGGTTCATACCCTTAGAAACACGGTGAAATCTGTGCAGAACAGCTCCTGCTCTGCACAGACCGAGGCTGGGGGGTGTGCAGACTCTCAACACCCACATTTAGAGAGCTGAAAAGACACACCCAAAACAAGGGGCAGAGGATCCTGCTAAACAAGTTACCATACCTGCAGCTCTCTGCACTGAGATGTTTCATTGCAACAAGAGCAGCAGGTCTTTGGGCCATCTATAAGCATCCAGTGCAGCTGAACTTTCTTGAGGTCACTGGTGTAAAACTGAATCAAAGCAAACCTTAATTATCAATTCTTCTGCCTCTCAGTGCTATAATTAAGTCTG